ATGTATATATATTAAAACCAAATAAAACATAAAAATGGTCGCACTCGTGCGTAAAGTATACATGGATCATTTCACAAAAACGTCAGATTAATCGACTATTTCAAACATCAAAACTTTTTTTTTGATGGGGAAATTGATTCGAGATTGCGATCGTAGGGGTTATATCATCGTCTCGCTTGCACTTATAAATAATCTCGTCACCTAACAAACGATTGGATTTTTTCCAAACAGAGCCTAATTTTGCTGAAATATGTTTTTGAGATTAAGTCATACTTTTTTTGCAGGGCGTAATGAAGATGGGAAAAAATAGGCCAAAAAGCGCGCATGTTGTCATTGCTATCTAAGCGTTTTTAATCAGTTCTTTTTAAAATTTTTCGATGCCCGCTCATTGATTTTTCAATTAAATATATTATAATTATAATAAATATACATATATGTATATGCACGTAATATATATGCATGCGCGTGTAAGTAATGAAGATTTTCGACTAACTTATAAGTAATTATACAATCCAAATAGGCTTCAAATTTCAAGTTCTGTGTGGAAGCGATGATTTTACATTCGGGCAGTTTTCATCAGAGAAAAAAAATTTTGACAGTATCTTATAACTACAGTGCTCTAAAAAAGAAAAAAAAAAACAGTTTTTTCGCAATAACTTTTTTTTACGCACATTTTGTACTTTTGCTTAAAAAAAAACACAAAGTTTTGTAGTTCACAATACACACAACTTTTTCGTACATGATAAGTACACATTTTACAAAATTGGTACAAAATCAGTAACACAAGCGTTTTCCTCGCGGAGCAATTCATTTGTGAAGCCCATGATGTTTTTGACATTTGTTTTATTCACGCGAGACAAATGATTTAGTTTCTCCAAGTAGTCCTTTTTCGTGCCTTTGATATTGATTATTTTTTATTCCGAAGTGAACGGGAACACTATAAATGTATTTTGCAGCCCTACACTTTTAAAATCGAATGTGGCCAGTCGCAGAGTGCTTGCCCGGATAAAATAATTGGTCCATTACCGTACAATTCACCTCATCTCAACAAATTATAACTCAAATAAACAAAACAACTTGAAAAAATCCATTTTTTGTGAAATGATCAGTATATACTTGTTTTTGCTTCCGCGCCGCGTGAACAGCCGGCCTTTTTCCCTCACATATACTTATGTATGCCACCCAATCAGCATCACGCATGAGGGCATGAGTGTCGTGTGTGACTGTATGCTCATCCCCCTTGAGGCTCGCTCTATAAATGAGCAACAGCCCCCCGCTCGTCTCTCGATCTGCACTACCGAGAGTACCGAGTGCTCCGCAGTCGCCGCGCCCGTAGTTATAATTTCGAAATATTTTTTTAAGTAAAGCGACAAAAAGACTCTGTTCCCCCTCCAACGCTCGCGAATGTCGTAGTGCAGTGTTTTGTTTACTCAATCTCATCAATTATATATAAAATCATTTTTAGGTATTTAATTACACATATATTATAGGTATCTGTGGGCATTGTTGTACGTGCAGTGTGGAAGTGTGGACTACCTGCGTGAGTGCGTGGCGTTGCTGCGTATATCTTTTGTTATTTGTCTCTCTGCGGCCGCAGTGTTTTGTACACAGTGCATTTTTTTTACGTTACTCGTGGCATTCGTGCCCGTTGAGTAGGTACAGTAGTTGATCATTATTAATTTAATCCCAACTCTTACCAGCGTATCATACTGTATACGCACCAACTCAGGCTATCATATAGCCAAGCCGCTGCCGGGTTGACAGCAACAACCAAACGAACGAACGAACGAACGAGAAAAGATAAATTCGACTCGAGCTAAATAGAATATACCTATATACCATACATACCTGTATATACAAAAGTTATAAAAAGAGAGAGCAGGTAGCCATCGGATTTCTCATCATCAGATCAGCTACAATGGTCATCAAAATCTACATATCCAGAATTAGCGGCAGTAAGGAAGTGAGTCCATTATCATTAATATTTTGATAAGGTGCATGTGTTGCTACTACTACTACTACTACTACTACTGCTACCTTTTGCTGACCCCTGTACCACTACCACCCCATTGCCCCTCGTTCATTATTATTGTGATGATCATACAACTGATAGGTAACAACACTAACAAACTGTAGCTCATCCCAGGCATTCGCACCCAAACACACTTAAAGCTCACTGCTTATTTGACTCAATTTTTATTTTTGATACGATTACAATTTTTACATTTAAATCCAAGAATATCCTAGCAAAGATTGACCTTGAAATACGCGACAAATTATCGCCCACTTCTACCTGCTATACATATAGTCGCTATCTCCCGGCCCTCCCTCTCGACTTGACTCTTCTTCTTTTAACACCTATTATACGCGTACGTATATGCCATTAGCCCAACACCACTGAAAACTAAAATTCTGATGAAAAGAAAAGCCCGCTCTCTCTCTCTCTCTTCCTGAGCATATCGCACAAAATTATTTTAAATATCATTAATTGAATCAAACGTTCCACCGACCAACGGTGCAAAGTAGACACTGCGGGTCTTTATTTTATTGGCGAGTTAAATTGACGAAATTAAATCATTTCTTTTGAACGTCATCCTTAAAATATGTGGTGCATTGTGACTCAAGTCTCGTATCTGTCACGACATACACTAAAGATACCAAACTACGTCGTAACTTTTTCTTTTTTTTTTATCTTACTGTTTCCACTTTTTTTTTTAACAACACAAAAATTTGTTCTTTTGTATTTGACAACACTTAAATAATAAGAGCTATTGTTGAATAACTGATTTGAATTATTTTCATATTATATCTCCTGAAACTATACAAATCCATCAAAAAATTCGTTAATATTGATTTTTTTTTCAAATGGTACTTTAATTATATTTCTTAGGTGAAAAAAAGACAGCAAAGAGTCTTGATGATATTGGACAGCAAAAATGTAGGCTACCAAGTTATAGACATCACAGAACCTGGCAAAGAAGCTGAAAAAGAATTTATGCAGCTCAATAGTATGGCAAAGGATAGCAAATATCCAATACCTCCACAAATATTTAACGAAGAAGATTACTGTGGAGTAAGGTTCTTTAATGATTAAACGCTTTTTTTTTCATAACTTTTGATTTCGTCATACTTATCGACCATTCTGTTGTTAAGGATTATGAAGACTTTGATGAAGCAAATGAAATGGATGAATTGGAAAAGTTTCTAAAAGGGTCGTACATCAGTACTGATAACTCTGAAAATAAGTCACAAAATGATGTACAACAAAACGGCAACTCTTCAAGTCGAGAGGTAAATATTTATTCATTGTATTTAAATATTTTCTCATGGTGATAGTTTGTAACAATCTCAATAAATTAAAAAAAAAAAAAAATTCCAGCCTTCTGCGGATAAAGATGCCTTGGACCATGATGGGTATGTATAACTTGGATTTTTGAATAAATTATATCCAATAAAATTTATTTCAAAATATATTTTTATATCTAGGACGGAAGAAAAAATATTATCTGAACCAGAGAATGACAAACTTTCTGATACAGAGATTAAAGACTTATCTGAAGGTGATAATCTTGAGGAAGATGATGAACAGAAAAATGATGAAGATTAAATATTATTTTATGCATTGTGTGCATCAAGGAATAATTATGTCTTACGGAGATTCATACGCGACCATTTCTTCCTTTGTAAATGAACCGTTTCATTTTCATAAAGTCGCCCTTTAACATAATGAGGTAAAAACTGCCAGCAATACGTCCATACAGATTTTAAGAGTTGACTGAGATTATTTATTTGCACTTTGTTCAAGTGATTTCAGTAAGCAAGTCAACTCTGAAACAAGTTCAGACATACTCGCTTAGTTTGTATTTTCATAATTTTTCATATTATTAGATCTATGAAATTTTTAACAGAGAAAATTATATTTTGTGCTCTTCTTTTGCAATTGAAAAATATTGTACATATAAATTTAATTCTTATAGCTCTATGAAATTTATTAAAACATATTTATATTTGTAAAAATCAGTTGGTCAGCTTAAAGCAAATTGTATTTGGATCAAGTTACAAGAGACTGCTAGCTTATAGCAAGAATAAATGTTAAAATATACATTCCTGCAGCTTAAAGTTGTCTTTGCCTAAACAATTTACTTTGGCTTTTGTGAGGTATTCAGCAATGGCTGAAAAAGAAGCTTGTAAAAATTAATATAGGGTCTTAAATTCGTTAAAAAAACAAAGTATATTAATAATATATATATACATATACACACATCATGTAT